CGGAGGGGAACCAGCAGGGGCACGTGGAAAGGGATGTGGAGGGGAACCAGGAGGAGGAGGCTAGTGGTAGTCAACCCTCCGTTGGACAGAAGAGGGCACGCGGGCAACGAGGTGCAGCGAAGAAGCTTGAGGGTCGGCACATCATAACGGAAGTGGAAGAAGATGGACGTCCTAGTGCCCCGGCCGAAGCCGCCAAGAACTATGTACGTCACAGCGGTTGGGTTGTGCGGGATAACGTGCCTGTCAGTACGGTGTACTGGCGAAGAACAAGGGCACGCGGAGATCATGAGAGCTTTGTCCCAGATTCGAAGAAAGAGATGCTGTGGACTACAATGCTCGAGACAAGTGAAAAGGTGGACTCTGAAGAAAATGGCAGAACAGTTTTAGAGCTTCAAGGGAGATCTGTACCAGAAGTATATACTGAAGGGGCAGACACCGAACTTCGACACATTCCCAAAGCTAAGGGATCACTGGGACGAGTTCGTTGCATATAAGACAGGTGAACAAGGGCAGGCGATGATGGAAAGAAACAAAGAAAATGCCGCCAAGAAGAAGTACCATCACCACTTGGGGTCAGGAGGCTATAGCGTCGCGATGCCGAAGTGGGAGCAGATGGAGGCTAGCTTGATTGAGAGGGGTATCGAACCGGCAACAGCCAATTGGCCGGAACGATCGAAGTTCTGGTACTATGCTCACGGTGGAACGCTCAACCCAGCTGATGGCTCACTAGTCTTCGGCTATCAGATACGAGAGGCTGCGCGACGACTAACAGATGCAGTGGAAGCCTCCTCTCAGGGCACGTTCCGACCAGACAGAGATAGGGACGAGCTGACACTCGCCCTGCAGACTCCAGAGCATCCAGGACGAACTCGAGGGAAAGGGGTGATTCCTTGGAAGATTGGTTTCAAGGAGGACATCCACACGTACAGGAGTCGGATGAGGAGCAAGAGAGATACCGAGGCGAAGATTGCAGACCTAGAGTTCCGGGTATCGAGCTACGAACTCAACATGCAAGAGAAGGTGGCAAGGAAGGTTGATGAACGCATGGCCGCACATCGGTCCCATGATCCCCAGCCGACCATTCCTCCTGCAATGGTGAGCCCGTCAGGAAACCGTAGCAGCTGCGCCTCAACGGGGCAGGTAGGATCACAGAGCATGGACGCCATGCAAACACAGGACGAATCGACCTGTCCCGTTGATGACATCACTCAGCGGACACCATGTGAGCTGCATATTCCTTTCAAGAACTTATCAATAAAGGTAAGATTTAGCCATTCCGCTAGTTGCTGCTTATATATGTTGATTACTAATAAATAATCTCTCACAACATGAAGGTGGCGTCGGGCATGGCCATCCAACAGACCCTTCAGGTACTTACCACTGCAGGCCGATTCCAGCAGGATACTCGAAGGTCGAAGTTGAGTTGGTCGAAGGCGCGTACGAGGACCTCGAGCTGGATTACCCTGGAGGAGACGGTGAGACGTATCTACGAGACACATGCCATGCCATTATTCTATGGCGCAGGCGGTACATCATCCTCCCTGGGCGACAAGCGGCGTCTCGTGCACCATCTCCTCCGACTCCGCCATCTCCTCCTCAGGATCCTGCACCGTCTCCTCCTCATGCTCCGCCAGCACCGTCTCCACCTCAGGCTCCAGCATCGACTCCTCCTCAGGATCCTGCACCGACTCCTCCTCGTGCTCCTACACCTACTCCCCCGCAAGCTCCTCTTCCGGCACCTTCAAAGTCAATGGCCCCCCCAGCTCCACCGCCTGCCCACACAAGGGCAACGAAGAAGGCGAAAGTTGACGCCGCCAAGAACAAGGACCCGGGGTACGATTGCACGCAAGAGGAGCTTGACGCTTACGTTGCATCAGAAGTCAAGAGACAATTCAAGCCTCGAAGTCCAGAAAAGAAGATTCCTATAGACCCCAGTGTCAGGAACTTCTTCAGGGGTATGTCTGCATCTGTCAAGGAGGCCATCAAGCTATCGGACTATGAGCGAACGCTGAAGAAAGCATCTTCTGGAAAGTCCAAACCAGTCCCTCAGCTTGGAGAGCAACCAAACCAGGAGATCGAGCCGTTGGTGACCGGTAAAGAAATGACGATAAAACAATTTATTACTGACACCGGTCTAACTACGGATCAATTGCTAGGAGTCGCACCAATCGAAAAGGCGGAAGTGAAATACATGTACGAACTCGGTAAACCACTTGTCAAGCCTGAGCTGCTGCAGTCCCTACCCACACAAATGTACAAGTTCCATCAGCTGTACATGGAGATGAGCGCCACCGGTAGAGAGATGATCGGAGCGAGGACCAGGGACACGGACTTCTTGCAAGGAGATGACATTCTCTGGATCAATTTCAGGGGAATCTACGAACTATACCAGCTGGACGCCCTCGACATCTCTATTATGAGTTGCTGGATTTTGTAAGTATATCGTTCAGTTAGATTTCTTACTATACGTCTCCTTTAATTAATTAGGTCCTTGTATATAAGTAGACCATAGAAAATAATATACTCCCTTTTATCGTTGTAGAATGGAGATTCAAAGGGCCCGACGGCGGAGGGTTTTCGATACTGGATTCATCGACCCTCGGAAAGTAAACATCGCAATGCTCGACCAATATCCACAAGAAACAGAGGACAATCTCGTCCATCTCCTAAAGGCGCAGCATTACAAGACGTTCATACTATTGCCATACAACACAGAGTTAGTTTAATTTTACTGTCTTCCTACATACCAAATTTCATTCCCGTACGAACTTGCTAAGTGTTTCATATGTAATGCATCCCACGCACATTGCAGATTCCACTGGGTTCTTTTACTCATCGACCTGGAGGCCTGCACCGTCAACGTATATGACTCAATGGATAAAAAAGAGTCTACGTTTGACAAGGTTTTCGAACTTATAGACAGGTACCGTCATAAGTTCATTTGTTAATTAAGAAAATCTTGTTATGTTAATTGCTACTACGAATCATAGCTTACAACTCCATGTAGGGCTTGGTATCGGTTCCGTCATTTGGTCCGCGGCAAATGGAGAGAAAGACTTAGGCGGAAGTTCAAATTTCCTGTGAGTACACATGCTCTACATTTATATTTCTCCGATTCAAATACATACAAGTGTATATTAATTAGATCTCTCGTTGTTTGTCATTTATTTGTAGTGCGCAAAGCAAAAGCAGGGAACTAACTTGTGCGGCTATTACGTGTGCGAGTATTGCCACTGCCTTGCAGACCAAATCATCACCACAAGAGAGCTCGATGTACGTACAAATAAATTCAAAATTTCATTACGTAGCGATTTCTTGTTTAATTACTAATCAATTTCATACATTCATATAGTTTATTCGCATGAGGGATAACCTGACCACACACAAGGAATTTATCGCGGCGGTTCAAGAACAACTCATGGGATTCATCAACGAAGAAATCCTTGATCCCAATGGTGAATTCTACTACGACGGAAACACAATTCACCGGTCCTTAGCTTCTGAGCTAGCAGCGAGTACTACTACGTCGAAATCGTAGCTAGCTAGGACATATAATGGATTGTAATTAATACATGACTACATATGTTTCTATATGCATGTGTACACATTTTCTATAATGTAAATATATTTTGTTCATATATATCTATATACATATACATATGCATTTGCATAACATATATATGTATAAATACATATATATTATGCATGTATATACATATAATATAATATAATATATATATATACATATATATATATATATGCATATATATGTATTGAAATATATATATGCATGGTTTATATATAGCAACAGGGGCATGCAAAAAAAAAAGGTCAGCTCGATCTTTAGTCCCGGTTGGTAACACCAACCGGGACTAAAGATCGATCTTTACTCCTGGTTATTTCGCCCGAGACTAAAGATAGCGATCTTTAGTCCCGGATTGGTACTCCCGGTTTAGAAACCGGGACTAAAGGGGGGTTACGAACCGGGACTACAAAGGATTTCTCCACCAGTGGTATATGTATATGTATATGTATGCATTTTCATGCATAGATCAGGATGTATGCTTGTGGAGTGCGCATGGTGTTTAATTCTAACTCCGGCTCGGCAGAGGGCACTGCGTTGCTCGCCAGCTTGCCGCCAGTACGTGGGACTGCATGTGGCCATGCCACCACGGGGAGATGGCGACTATTCGCTTTGGCAGGAAGCGGGACACCGAGGAATTCCGCCGCCGACAAGGACGAATTGTGCCGTCGGCAGGGCTCATCTCTCCCTCTCACTCCTGAGCTTGACTCGCACGACGGCATCAACAGATAGGGATTGATGTAAGGAACTACTCCATCCGTTTTAGGTTATAAGACGTTTTGACTTTAGTCAAAGTCAAATTGTTTTAAGTGTGATCAAGTTTATAAAAAAATAATAATATTTTCAGCTTAACACAAATTTATTATGAAAATATATTCAATTATTGATTTAATGAAACTAATTTGGTATTATAAATATTACTATATTTATACATAAACTTAGTTAAATTTAAAGCAGTTTGACTTTGATCGAAGTCAAAATGTCTTATAACCTGAAACGGACGAAGTAACTACTAAATTGCCCTTAGAAATTTTTAGCATATTCCTATCAAATCTTTGTAAATACTTGCAGTATAGTATACTGCTATTATATTGTACCGTAAAAGTTCAATTTCATTCGCCCCTCCCCCCACCGGCAAGCAAATATTTCGAGAGAAATTTTTGGATTTTTTTCAAATATTTATGAAGTTAGTCATAATTTGTTCAAATTCAGTAAAAATATGTTAAAATTTAAAAAAATCGTTCGAAATATCAGAATATTTTTTTGAAATTTCTGAAATTTCAGAATTCGGTGCCCACAGAAATTTTCTTCTGAAATGGAAAACCCTGGGCTACGCTTGTTCTACGGGGCACGTTCTCCCAAGACGGCCGGACCTTATGTGAAAGGGGTGAAGGTGGTGGACGGTGCAGCAGCTCACCGTGCTTTGGGTTGTCGGAGGAGATTGACCGGCTGGTTTCGAGGCAGTGGTGAAGCAGAGCAGATGCGTAGCCGAGCAAGGGCTCGAGTGCACACCAGGTGCTCGACGATGGGGCACCCGCCGGTGTCCTTCTCCTTTCCCAGCTTAGAGAATGCGGTGGAATGGCTTGGGGTCGCGGTCTGGAGCAAGAAATGCTAGACCAGCTCCTGGTTGGATCGGAGCAGAGAAACGCCAACGCGGCGCGGGTGCACTGTGCACACCAGGTGCTCGATCCCCTGGCCTGGTTGGTACGTAGTGAGGTGTTTGGGGGCGAGGATGGATGGAGCAAAGCTCTGTGTATGCGAGGTTGCGAGCGAGGGAGCTGAAATAAAAGGATGAGCGCGAGCGTGTTAATAGGTGCTGGCGTGCGGTGCGGGCGGGGTCCTTTGCTCGGCAAATTCATCGCGCGGTACTTGCGAGTTGCGACGGCGGAGGGCCGGGCCAGCCTTTGCTAGTGGCTAGCACGCGGCTACCGGGATGGTATTTCTTTAGTATTCTTTGTTTGGGGAATCTAAATAATTTCCAGTTCTTTATTGTCAGAACTTTCCGTCCAATGTTTGTATTTTAGAATTGGAAGTGGATTTATGCACATAGATATGAGTATATACCATACGAATCTTAGTCATGATGACTGAACCACATGCTATGACGGTATGACCTTTTTCTTTGTTTGTGTGATCTGGATTTCATTTTTTTTTCAATCTGGGCGCCTTACACACGTTCATTTTATATGAATAAGATCACATGTTCTTTTTTCAGGCAACAAACGAATATGTGTACCGATCGATACATATTCCCAAGGCAAAATTTGTTATATGACACTTTTGTGCTCTTTGCTAGAGGACACAGTAAGAAAATACTTTTCTGCTAAAGGGCACCGAAAAAAAGTGATAATTAACTGCTGGATACTCATGGCATTATTTTATTATATGTAGAGAAAATGGAGAGAGAAATAATGACGAAAATATAAATCTGCCCATGTCTCCATGACTCCATCGGGGAATTTAACTATTTGCCACTTTTAAGTTTGTCATTTATCCAAATGCCCCTCTTAGGTTTGCTCTTAATAATTTGTCACTACAGAGAGGTGATTTCTTAACTATTCACCACTTTTGCCTACGTGGCGAGCCAACGTGATGTGCCCGCATGGAAAGCGATGTGGTCCCTACCCGTCAGCCCCTTCCGTCTCCTTCTTCTCCACCTCCGGCCGCCGTATCTCCTCCACTTTGGCTCACCTCGCGTCTCGTACAGATGCTCGTGCGCCGACCACCTCCTGCGACGACAGCTGGCGACCGTGGCGGCGGGGTAGGCGGAGGCGGCCGCGGGTTCTTGCCACCGTCAGAGCTGCTCCACTTGCGCGAGCTTCTTGATGACAATGAGGAGGAGAGGACGCCATTGAGGAGGACGACGCCGACCGCGACGCTGATGGGGCCGCCGCCGCTTCCTCGAGCCCAGAGGCGCGGCGCGCGCGCACCGGCGGCGCTGCTGGTGCTGCTCACGCTCGTCGCCAGGGCGGGTGATGCAGGACGTGGGGCTCGGGGATGTGGCACCGGAGGAGACCACAGCGGCGGCGGCGCTCACAGCCGAGCTGGGCCAGCTCAGGGCGAAGATGATGGGGTTGCGATGGCCGGAGGTGGAGAAGAAGTAAAGGGGAGGTACTGACAGATGGGGACCACGTCGTTTTTCGCGCGGGCACGCCACGATGGCTCGCCATGTGGGCAAAAGTGGCAAATAGTTAAGAAATCACCTCTCTCGAGTGGCAAATTTTTAAGCGCAAATCTTACAGGGGCATTTAGATAAGTGACAAAGCTAAAAGAGTAAAAGTGGCAAATAGTTAAATTCCCCGACTCCATCAGCCCTCAACGCCTCAACGCCCCCAACGAACAGCAGGCAACAGTGGTGGGGCCGACGCCGATGCTGTCATGCATCGCTCTGTGCCTGTACCTGCTGCAAACTCCTGAGGAAGAAGCGGCCAGATGTGCAACTAGCCACCATGAGCGTCACACCCACAAACGCGTAGAAGGCAAAGGAGTTGACAAGGCCGAGCGCTCCCTGTGTGTGTCCTCGCGGGTGGCTGTCGTCACTTCCTCGTGTTGTCGCCGGACGTCGGCGTCGTCACAGCTCTGCAAGGTGTCGCCTTTGTTCTCACACTGGAGCCAGTAGTCTCATGTATCTCGAGCTCAGTCAGGCCACACTACACGGTGTCAGGCCTGTTCTACTTTCCTGGCATCGTCGGGACGTTCGACTTTCGAGTAGGCGCAGCAGGACTTAGGGAGGCGACGCGGCGGAGGAGAGTATGTATGAGCAGGCGGTGGCTGGGCCGGAGCAGGTAGTGGTGGTGGAGGACTGGAGGAAGCTCTTGCATGGCGTGCGGATCTGCGGATGATCACGCTACTGATGAACATCAGTGCACGGTGGGGATGACAGTGGGCAACGTACCTCGCGGATGCCAACAGGGCAACAGGGAGCTGCATGCGCGGGCGCGGCTGGTGGGCTCGTGGGTCGGCATCGCCGCGCGCCCCTAGCGCTGCCGCCGTGCATGGCCATCAACGCGTTAATAGGGCCCGACGACCTTTAAAATTCTAATTAAGAAGTTAATGACAGCAATCAAAAGTTAAAGATATATACTAGTAGTACTTAACGTCTTAATAGGGTTCTTCCATTGCATAAACCTAATCAAAATCTTTAATGAAAGCAGTTGGCCCATGGGCAAACATGCCTTCAATGAAAGTTTCTCTTTCCCCATTTCATTTGAATATAACAAAATAATCTGAAATTTTTATATTTTGGTCCTTTTTAAAAATTTATTTTACAAATAGACCCCTGGAAAAAATTAAACCGGAAATGGTCCTTTTCAGACGCCAGAGTGGCTGGCGCCGTCCCCCAACATGGCGGCGCTAGCAACACTGGCGCCGCGCCCGTGCCACCGTGGCAATAGGGCCGACATGGTTGTGCTGACTAGGAGGGGTGGGGGCGCCGGCCACACTGGTGCCGCCCCACGCACCACGGCGCCAGCATGGCTGGCGCACCCCTTCAGCGTGGGCCACCCCCTTAAACCCGCATGGGCCCCACCATCTTCTTCTCCCCACCCTCATTCGCACCCATCTCCAGCCCGAGCTGAGCAGCAGCAGCTCACCCCCTCTCTCTCCCCCTCACCTCTCCACCTCAAATCCACTCCATTTGAACTCGTTTTTCGCGGGATTTTTTTGTGGAAATCAAAGAGAAAGGTTGACTCCTCCATTCCCCCCCTCTTTTTTTTCGTTTTTATTTGTTGAATTTGTAGATCATAGGGTAACCCTAGAACCCCTTTTTTGCCCAAATTTGTGATTTTTAGCATTTGTTCTTGGGATTGGCTTGTTGTAGTGTTACATGTTTGCAATGTACTCATTGGTGTCACGAATTTTTGAACCATATCTGTGGTAATGTTAATTTTTGGATGGTTTGGTTGGATGGATGGATGAAAAATTAGGGTTGAGGCATGAAAGTAATTTTAATTTGATGGACTTGATGCTATAGCCTATAGGTTAAACTTTTAATTATATGAAGGGGACAAAATTTTGGTTGCATTATAGAAATTGATTATAATTAATTAGAACTAGGTTGGGTTGTATGACAGAGTATTTGTAATATTTCGATGTGTAATGCACTTGTAAACTTGTTGATAGTTGTAGGTGGATTAAATATATTTTTTTTGGAGTAGTAGCTTTGGGACAATTTAAGTTATGCATTGGTTATAATATGTCGGTTTGGACTACGTTTAGGAAGGAAGATTTAATTTTTGTTGCAAAGTTACATTTGATTTTTTGGTGTAGATGGATAGACTTGTTCGTGTTTACTACGGTGGTAGAGTGATGGAACCTTATGTTGGTGCACATGTTGAGTTTGAGGATATGTCATTGAAGACCATTTTGTTTCCCACCCACCCAACTCTAGATGAATTAAGGTCACGAGTGAAAGAAGTTCTTCGATAGACCGAGGATAATGTGGAGATTCGTTTTTATGGGAGATACGATGTTGGTCAAGGGCATAAGTATATATTAAATGTGATAGGTCAGTTGGAATGGGAAGTTTACTTTGATTTGGTAAAAGAGTCTCATTTTAGATCTCTAGAGGTGTTTGCATCAAAGTTAGTACGTACCGTAGAAAATTTGGATCTAAACAAATCTCCTTCTTATCATTACGTTGAGAAGAATTTTGTGACATATTCTTCTCGTCGTGGAGGGGGTGCAAGTAAGATTGAGTTGGTATGAGAAGACTTAGAGGGGGAAGGAGAGAAGAAGAGACCTTTGTTTGGAAATGATTTAGGGGAGGTAGGACCATCAAAGAGACATTGCGGTAGTGGTGATGTGGATGCAGCGAGGGAGATGAAAAGGGAGTTAGTACAAGAGGAGCTTGATCTAAGTGAACATTTGTCGGAGAGTGTGCATTGGTCATCGTACGGAGGCAACCCTGAATACCCGACGCAAGTAATAGCAAGCCAATATGTGAATCCAGATGATTACTTTGTTGTCAAATTGAGTGGTGGTCACGATTCTGTCTCAGTAGAAGTCAATAGAGAGGAGGTTGACGAGGAGGCAAGTGTTGAGCAATATGATGTTGAATTTGCTAAAGACTCTGATGATGACCGTCCATTCCCTCCACTAACTAACAATGACAAGTTAGCATTAGAGGAATGTCGTGCGTTTGAAAAGGTGTTTGGGAGGAAGCCGGACATTCCTGAGTTTAGGGATCAACCTAGATGGCGGCATCAACCTAGATCAGTTGCCAGAACCATTCAGGATGGATGGTCTCAGAAAGGGTTTAGAGTTCCCATCCATGGTCGCATAAAAGCTATGGCTCCAGGAGTACGCCATCGTGCACCATCGTCCATACCGTGTTGTCAATTCTACTGCAAATAGGAGGTACACTGTTAAATGTGAAAACCCACGGTGCAAATGGAAGATCCATGCAACTAAGAGGTCTAGTGGCATGCAGAGGATATCACGGGTTGGTAAGGCACATAGTTGTGTTACTGCCGAAGGTTCAGGGAGCCACCGGCAGCTGACATCTAAATTCATAGCAAATAGGTTATGCAATGCCATAAAACTGCAACATACACTCTGTACTTCTGCGTTAGCTTTGTATATATTTGAGGTTTTCCAGTATAGGGTGAAGTATGGCAAGGCTTGGAGGGCACTAGAGGAGGCTATGAAGCTCATTTACGGTGAATAGGGTGAAGCGTACGTCCGTTTGCCCACTTTGCCACAAGCCATTAAGCAGAGAAATCCCAGTATGGTCTAC